CCATTTTAGCTCATTAAGTACTATGTATTTCTAGTGAGCTTTGGAATATCCCACTGCCGGGCCCCTCAACAGGAGCTGGTGCAGCTGCCCCCTCCTCTCATAAACTCTGGCAACACCTTCAAGAAACAATTACTGCTACTTTTGGTTGAGAAAAAGATCTTATGTTAAAGCATGTGAAGATGTTACTTTATGTCTTAGAGCAATAGTTCTGAAGAGTAAAGGTGAAATATTTAAAATTAAAATATAAAGGCTTAATCTGTGTCTGTGTTTAGATCATTCATTTGAGGTATTTTGTGGAATATTAATGGAAAGTAGAGCCATCAAAAGTGAAAGTGTATGTGTATTTTTTTTAATTTCATAAAATAGCTTTTACAACCAGATATTTCATATTTCACTTATATTTTTGTAAATGATCATTTGAAATGTTAAAACATTTAACTGAACAATTTCATTATTTTTCACCAGAACTTGGTCCTGTTATAAGAACAATAATATGTTTAGTAAATGTTTATTAGATAAGACTTTTTCTGTAGACTTTCATGTATTTATAAGAAATTATTAACATTAGTTTGAAATAAGCGATGACAAGGTTTTGAATATGTCAGTCTTATATGTTTTATATCATCTAAGATGGCTAAATCTGACCTGTTGATTGGTAGTTGAAAACCATGTACAATGAACAAAGGTGCAATTTAAAATTATCTGTTTTATTTATCACACAGACTATCACTCATTTCGTGAATTGTTTCTTGTTTTATGCAATATGTAATCACTGAAATCATAATGGGTTTTTACATATTTACAAATATGACAAATATAACTAACTAAAAATGTTGAAGTCTAATTATTATTATTATTTAAAATAAAGAAATAGCATTGGTACTTCATCAAGTACACAACTGTAAAGGACTAATAATATCCATTTTTATGTAGCTATGATAATTTTTTAGAGTAAATATAGATAGGAATTGACTTAAATCTGCAATATATTTTTCCCATTCTAACCAGAAAAGATTTTAAAAAGTATGCACCTATATCCTGTGTAATTATGATGTAAGATATAAGTTATTGTTGTATGCTTTAATAGCTTGCTTGTGTATAGGTGGGCGTCTGTGTTCCTTCTCACCTTGTATAGAACAGGTACAGAAGACTTGTGAAGCACTGCACACAGGAGGATTTACTGATATTACAACATTAGAATGTTTGCTACGTCCATTTGAAGTAAAAGAAGTTTCTCTCCCACATCTTCACTTATCAGAAGAGACACTCGTATGTTTCATTTTCTTATCACGGTAGTTCTTATATACAAATAATAGTATTTGGAATATGAAAAATGTTTTTTTTTTATGATTTACAATTTTTACTGATGTTCTATAATGTCTTGAACATAATTTAGATAGTTTACAGAACTATTGTGATGAATACTTATACAAATGTATTTTAATAGAATCAAAAGCCAGCAAGTAATCAAATTTTTCAATGTTTTTTAGAATAAAACAAGGAAGATTAGTTTAGAGTCCCAAGATGGCACCACAGACGTGAAAAAGGAAGAGACAGGAAAAATTAATACAAATTCATTAGATGACACCACTGGTGATGCAGTTTCTTTCTCAAAATCAAACTCTAAACGAAGTCGGATTGAGAAATCAATGGAAAACGTTTGTGAAGCAGAATGGGCTGCTGTGCCGAGCTTGCAAATACCAGGACATACTGGTTATTTGACTTTCGCTACTTTTACACATAGTTAACACTTTCATGTAAGACTTCACTCCTTTGTGAAAAAAAAAATGTTTAATAAAGATTATTTATTGAAATTGTTATCAAGACATCTTAAGTCATTACAAGCTATTAAACATGAAATGTAGTGTTTACATATAATAATTTACACTTTATTAAAAATATACTTAGTGAAGTTTAATTGTTAATAATAACTGATAACAAGGTGAATAAAATATCTCATTTTTTTCAGGATAAGAATTATTTTGAAAGTAATGGATCAGCTAGATATGCTTCTTATATTAACAGTTGTGGAAAAATTATCAAGATTCTATAAAGTCGTTTGAAACAAAATGTATTCAGTCACTGCAACACTTTCGTTTATTTGGTAAATGTTGGTTAAATATATTACTTTTAATTTACAGCAAATATTTGAATTTGAAAGAAAAATTCAGTTCCAAGTATCAAAACCTAACATAATAAGTACAAGATTTACAACTTGAAATGAACGAATAACTTGTGATGTTACAAACTGTTAACAAAAGTTTAATATATTTAATGTTTTAGTATGCCTACAAATGTAATAAATGGCATTAATACTATATTCATTATTAGTGAATCAATTTCATATTAAACACTTGTATTTGTAAAAGATATCTTAATTATTATTTTAATACTGAAAAGTGAACTTGCTTTGGCTAATACTCAAAAGGCCTCGCCAAACTTGTAAGGTTTATAACGTGTAGGAACAACTAATCATGTTTATTCAAAGGAATGGCGAAGAGTTTTCTACCCTCGTCTAATATTCCAATGACTGTTTGTTAAATACTGTAATTAAACTTGTAGCAAAGATATAGAACTTAGTTTTCCTGAAATAATAGGTTTATTGAATTATCCCACATTTAGTGTGACACTCAAAAAATTTAGGCCTAATTTTTTTTATTTCTAATTATATTAAGGTAATCTTATTTGATTTGTTAAACATGATTATTAATGTTAAAAGTTATACATGATTATATAACCCACAGTAAAGAAGCACAAAACTGTAAGGTTACATACAGCATCATAGTTTTGGAAGATTAACTTCGGCCAGCAAAGCCTCTTCTGTTACATAGAAACATCGCGACTCAAAATCTATTAGAGAGATGTAACATATTACATGTGGTATACTATTTCACTTGTTAAGTAGTATATACCATTAAATGATTATTAGATCCAAACCGATATCCTATTTATAATAAATAAGGCTTTGAAGAAACATTTGTCATGTTAATTCTTTTTCTTCTTTGAGCAAATGAATTCTTCGCATTGATTCCTCTGTATGGCTCGGAAAAGCAATTTTAGGCCTAGTTTCTCGGCCCACTCATCTTTGACCCTGAAAATACAATAAAACAAACTTGCTGTTGACTTAATTTGCTTTACTTTTACATCATTTACCAGATCAACAGAATTGAAAGTAATATCAGCTCATTAAATAATAATAATAAAGGATATTATACCAAATTACAAGAAATGTGACAACACATTCCTCTCCATATGTAGGAAGTCATTTTGAGAAGTTTTCTAACAGCTTTTAATTACTTTCCTTGTAAACCTGGATGATTTGAGATTATTCACAATTTGTTTCACTATCTGCTAATTAACCACTTTTCTCAACTAATGTCCGCACTTCCTGTCTATCTGTTAGGTAATACAAAATAGTGTTTGTTTTTGTATAGTGCTAGGGACTTTAAAGTTATTCAAAATATGGTTTTCTTTATTAAATCATTCCCCATACTTTTGTAATATTTTAACAAGTTTATTTTGGACAGGTTCTTAGATCTCTCACTAAATTATTTACAAAATTTTGTTTTCAGGCAGATCTTTGACTAACTCTTCATTCTTCGTTACGTAAAGATAATCTAATAATTTGGTTTTCCAATCTTAAGTTTCTTACTCAATAATTAAGAAGAAAGAAATTATTTCAACTTGCTACTCACGTAGAAGCTAATTTGTAGAACATGCGTTGCACGATGTTCGCCTCATTAGCTTTTCCCTCTATGGTGACCATGCAGAAAATATGTTGCAGACAAACGGGATCGTCCAGACTGGTCATCTGATATTGACTGATGATGTCTAGAACAGGATTGAAGTAATTTGAAGACTGATTAGCTTGACGTCGACGTCTTCCACCACTTAATGATACTACATTAGGTATCAGAGCACCCAGAAGGAGACCAAGGGGTAGGACACCTAAAAGAAGGGCAAGAGGACCAAGTTTTGCAGCCTTGAGTGCACCGAGACCTAGAATACCTGATCCTCTATCAAATCCAGTCATACCAAACCCTCCATACCCACCTCCTTGTCCACCATATCCACTAATTCCCCCATATCCACCTCCTTGTCCACCATATCCACTAATTCCCCCATATCCTCCCCCTTGTCCACCATATCCACTAATTCCCCCATATCCTCCTCCTTGTCCACCATGACCAATATTAAATCCACCTCCTTTTCCACTATATCCACCCCCATGTCCACTGTGTTTTCCCCTATATCCTCCCTTACCTCGATGACTACCTTTTCCGTGATTTCCTTTTCTATTCCCATATCCGCTTTTCCCTCCATGACTACCTTTATGCTTTCCTCTGTTACCCTTAAAATTGCCACCATAGCCAATTCCTTTACCACCATGCCCATGACCTCCTCCACCTTTTCCTCCATAGCCACCACTACTAACCCCATGTCCACCACCTCCTCCACCTTTTCCTCCATAGCCACCACTACTACTATCCCCATATCCTCCACCTTTTCCTCCATAGCCACCACTACTACTAACCCCATGTCCACCACCTCCTCCACCTTTTCCTCCATAACCACCACTACTACTATCCCCATATCCTCCACCTTTTCCTCCATAGTCACCACTACTGCTACCCCCATATCCTCCACCTTTTCCTCCATAGCCACCACTACTACTACCCCCATAGCCACCACTACTACTAACCCCATGTCCACCACCTCCTCCACCTTTTCCTCCATAGCCATTATCACCAGGATAATGTTCTTTCCCTCCTTTTGTACCATAACTACTACTTCCACCCCCATAACTACTGTGCACACCATCATCACCACCTTTATTATAACCACTGCCTTTGCCAGAAAAGCTAATCCCTTCACTTCCTGTACCACCATCATAACCACCCCCACTATTGTGCTGTGTATACTGATTGGAATTAGTGGCTGATGCTTGGAAATCCACAAACGTCTTTGGATCTTGAACGTAAGGGGTATTACTTTCTAAAGAAAATCTAAATTGATCTGGGATTCCTGTTATGCCAAAGTCAGTATCAGGGTTACCTTGGTGATTCTGTAAGTTGAAAGTCTCTGGAATTTGAGAAAGAGGGAGATCTCCATCAAAGTTGTTAAAAGAAGAAATTTGGATAGGTTTAGGTGGCTTAGAAGATGGTGAAATGCCAAAAAAATTATCAGGAGTCATCCAAGGTGAGTTAGATTTGGCACTCTGTGTTGAAACCATAACACTGGAACTCGCACTGGACCCCAGCTTTTCTGAACTATCCTTAAACTTTACCTGTCCAAATGTTGGGTTAGGGTGACTATTGTATCTAGGAGGATCTAGATGATTTGAATAATGGCTATCTTGCAAAGTCGACTGATATAGGCCAGACGAGTCAGGAAAGGAAATAATAGAGTTAGAGGCTGAGACAGCGTTTTCTTGGTTAAGTGCATGATGTAGATTACCTTCTGACATAGAATAATCATGCGTATCGTCAACTTTTGATTTAGCTGGCAATAATGGATTACTTTTTAAAATGCTATAAACTGGATTTGTTGTCAAAAGATTAGAATCGTACTGGTGGTTACTGTTTTGTTGTACTGGTGGATCATTTGCTGATGAAGAGTAGACAGTCTTTCGCTGATGTTCACCAAAGGTGCTACCAGATGCTTCAGAAAACGATTGCTTTGGACTGACAGTATTTGGACTTAAATCCACGGGTATGCTCCATAACTCCTCTGATCTTTTGCTAGCTGTTGCATTTCCCTTATCCGAAGTATAGCTCTCTGATGCTACAACTGCAGATCCAGTATCTCCGTACCACATAAGCAATATCAGTAGGTACAACAGATAAGTACTACCCCACCGGAGCGTGTTATTAACTATGCTCATTATTTATCTGAAAACAAAAATATGCAATTGACTATCGCATCACTAGTAAAGCAAACAGAAATGTATAAGTTATCACAGATTAAGTAATTTTTAAATAGAAAATGAAATTAGGACCTAAGCAGGCCAAGGTTCACGCTACTAGTATACCCCTATATCCTTCTTTCGAAACAGTAGAGCCCTTCAATTATATGGTTACGGTTCATGTTTCTTGTGTCCCCTTATATCCTTCATTCGAAACATTAGAGCCCTTCAATTATATTGTCCTATAACTGGTTATTTATTTGTTAAACACGTTCAAAATCACACGGTTGCATGTTACTGAATATTAAATCAAACAATAAACTGAAGAGACTTTCAAGATTATTCACAACCAGGAAAGGAAATGGGTTTTAAGAACTAGGTATACGCTTGGAAGGAGAAGTGGGGTGATAGGTATAGAAAAGATAGGAGGTTCCTATTTTATATTCTAGCTTGTCAATATCGGTAATTTGAGTTCCTAATTCGTAAGAAACCATAGACTTTGTACTTGGAAATCACACACATCTAA